CTAATCTTCCAGTCCAGAGTATAGCTTACATCTTTATTTCTCATGCATTGAGGCACCATTATACTGTTCCCTGTCCTAGGCAGGGCTGGAATTTTACTCTGAATGTACCAAAGGAAATTTTAGGGAACAGTCTGTTGCTGTCAGAGAAGTGGACTAAGATAAACTGATATGTTTTCTTCTCTAACACTGATGGTTCTGTGAAAGCCATTTCATGTTATAGGATGACAGAAGAAAGGCAGGCAAGTGTTATTTCTCATGACGATAACCTAGAGATGATTCCTGGCTAACTTCCTGAAGAGTACCTAATTGCCTTTATGTTTTCTGATTCTGTCCTCTTTTTGGAAAAGAATGACAATTGGGTTGATAAAAAATGACTTATTTTGGAAAGAGTGCAATCCACTTTTATCTGTTCCTGAAAGCCTAGAGATCCATAGATGTCTGGAGAGTTAGAGAAGAAAACCTCCCTTGCAAATACAAAGGGCTGCTCATAATCTTAATGATTTCTCTGATTTAGGATGTTTTGTCTATTGCAGAAAATTTACAAAGGGTGATTAGAGTTCATGTAAATACCAAGGCAGAACTTACAGCCTATGGCTTCGTTTCATATGGCATGTTATTATGAGACCTACTGCTTCAAAGCAAAGATAGAGCTGCTGCAGGCATTGGGCTGACATGGGAAATGCAGGCTGCAATTATTTCTTTTGAATATTGTATAATGCTAAGGTGTGTGTTGCATGGGTACCTGCCAAAAGGATTTACAGTTCCAGTTTGGCCATCAGTACAGAAGTTCCTCGCTCTGAGGTTCTTACACTTGAGAAAGTACAGGAGTTTTAGCTGAGAAAGTAATTATTATTTCTATTATTATTAGCTTTTCTTAGAACTGAATATTGAGAAATGGTGAGCTACAGGTGTTTCTTCAGTGCCAAGTGATCTTCAGGAATTACTGTCTATCTCTGAATTTAGAATCTTTACAATCACTGTATTTCTGAAAACAAAATCTCCAGTAACTTAGAGGTAAAATATATTTCTTACTTTTCTTTAATGGATACATGCTTTATTTGACAGGAATTATTTTCCCTAAGGGTCTATTAAAGAAATAGCTTGAAGACAAAGGAGAGTTTACACAGCCTTATTTTCAGTTGTACATAATCTTTTTTGCCCTTATTCAGTACATGCCTGTGAGTTCAGAGGTCTTAATTCACAAAGGTACTTGGCTACTTTCCTAGCTTTAGGCAGACTAATGGATTTGTTGTCTTTGCTGGGACAATTCATGTGCTTCAAGTTGAGTGCATGAATAGATAACTGGCTGAAGGCAGAGGATTATCTCAACCTTTGTATAGGATTTCAGTCTCTTTGCCCAAATGAATTTTGTGTATGCAAGTTCAATAGCTTCTGCATCCAGGACTTATAGCCTGATGAGTGCTTCTGTAGCCATTAAGAAGTCCACCAAAATCCAAATGTATGAAGGTGTTTGTTTATGTACTCTCAGAAGCTGCAGCCTATCAAAGTAAATAATTTCATATTTTTTCTGCTCATATATATATTTACTTATGAGAATAATTTTTCTATCTTGGTTAATGACTTATTTGGTGAAACAGATTCCAACCTATTTTCTGATGAAATTATTTTCCAAGAAAAGCCTTGTAGCCAAGAACCTCCCTACAGAACTTCAAATGCAGATCCCCTACTCAAGCCACAAAAGCACATGGAGCAGGAGCCCTCGGGAACAACAGTCATTGCGTTACACAGCTGAAAAAACCTGAATCAGAAAACAAAAGAGAGCAAAATGGAAAACTGAAGAGTTCTGTGAGAAATTCCAGCCTGAACTGAAAAACAAATCGGTGGCTGGCAAAGGCAGAGGAAGCTGAGATAGAGATTGGACATGTTGAAAAAATGGTTCATGCTTCTAGACAATGTCATTCATGTTGCAGCTGGGACAGAGGAGTATCAACAGACAGCAACTATTGGATATGGCACATGGTACTTCTGGACAAGGGGAAAGTGCTGAAAAGACAAATGTTGACTAGTAAATTACTGAAAAGTGCAAAGAAAGCACGTGAGAAATGTGGCCAAAGAAGTGAAAAACGATGCAGGGAAGGGTAACAGAGACACGCTGAAGGCCTCGTGGTTGAACTGGAAGCTTCTACTGTGCTGGAAAGTCACAGAGGCTTTAAAAAAAATAAACAGCAGGAAAACTTCTGAACCAGAAGTGGAGCTTTGAAAAGCAAAGACTGAAGAGTGCTCGTTACCAAAGTAGACCAGAAAAAGATCTTGGTGGTGCATTTCAAAGAAAGTGTGAACAGGGTCAGCTTCACCACATTTCAGAGGAACAGGGGAACATGAACATTTTGCCCTTTTTTGTGTTAAGAACAGAAATCGAAAACACGGGCTGCAGCCATCATGCTGACAACATAGAGCCAGCAAAGGATGACAGGAGAAAAGCTTAAAGAAATGGGAAGGAAGTAAATTAATATCTGGGAAGAAGTGATTGTGCCTAAAGAATGAGAACGTGGAGTCAATGAGTGGATGCCTATGATAAACATCCCACACGTTGGAGAGGTGTCCTTGCTTTGTCCTGAGGAAAGTCTTCTGCAGTGACACTACACAGGGTGAAAGATGCTGCAACTGTAGAGTTCAGAGAAAAACAAGCTGAATTTGCACTCAAGAAATTCTGTAGAGACTGGCTGTTCATGTTGCAGGTTACCATGGAAGGATCGTTCTCCGTGAAAGTCATCTTCTTTTGCCATTGCTTTTATTGGCCTTCAAACGTTATCACTTAGCATGAAGAGACTTACATGGTGGGGGACACTTGAGATCTGCCAAGTCCCAGTTAGAAACATCAGAAACATGCACAGAGATCAAAGTGCTCAGTGAGGGTAAGTAATCACACAACAGAACGGTTCAGCCAGGAGGCTGGTCTGAATTGTTTCTCTGCTGCCGTTTGGCATTGGCATGGGATGACTATGGAAGCAGAGTTCAGGCTTCGGTATAGAAAATGTAGATTACCAGGGCATAAAGGGCAGGGCACCGAGTTATTGTGCGATGGCTCTGAAAAGCTGGGAAGAAAGACAAATGTCCTGGCAAAGGTAGGTCAAGCTTAGCTCAAAATCAATGAGCTCAAATTCATCCTCCTTGTAACACAGATGTCACGTTGATGCAACAACCTGATAATTTGGAGGAGTCATATCTTTTCCAGCAGAACTATCAAGAAAGAGGTGAAATAAGGGTGTTTATTCATAGCGTGAGTAGGTATGGCATAGAGAAATAGGAAATAATGCAAACTCGATTGCAGTCTTGTGTTAATGTACAGCTGTGAGAACTGAAGGCATACCAAAGTGGCAGAGAGGAAGGTAGATGCTTTCTTAAGACAGATAGTGGGCATGAGACAATAAAACTTATCTTGTTGCAAAATTCTGCTGAAAAATCCTCAAGCAGCAATCTGTCTCTGCTGGTGTCGGAGAAAGTGCTTCTGCCCCTCATCCCACTGGGCAAAAACTCCAGCTCGCTGTATCCTCAAGTGTGAGGGCAGATGCTTTGAATGCCAGCGCAGTTGTGATCATCTAAATCATGCCATGAAGACCAGTTGGGGGAGAGAAAGCAAAACTATCCAAGGAAATCTTTAAGATGCCTTAACGGAGGGCAAGGTATAATTGACCTCGAGACCAGCGTGCTACTAAAAGCAGAAGCAGCGAATGGGAGAGAGAAGTGAAAATAGTGTACACTTCGTGCACTAGTGGGAGGATGGATGAATGAGTGGGTGTTCGCAATAGTAATGAATGACAAGCAGACCTGGAGGGTAATGTTCCTTTCAGAGAGTGACCTCATCTGTAATGTAAACTACCTAAAGAGGTATGTAAACATTTTCACTGGCTGTAAAAATGTATATTCAACAGATCTGTCATCCCATAAAACCCCAAAGGAATAGTGGAATGGAAATGTTCTTGTGTCTAAAATAAAATAGGTCAGCACTACATTTTCTTTCAGAAAACCAGTAACATCATGTTAGCATCATGTTAGATTGCGTGATAACTTGGGCTCATCTCTCAAACCAGTTAGTAGGGATTTTTAAACAGGGTTAAATACGCCTAAGTTGTATTTCAATCCTTTTAGCTGGATGGATTTTAAAATTTTCTTATTGATTAATAGCTTTTAGAGCACAACACAGCAGGTGTTAAATCTCTCAAGTATATTTAATGGATTACATTTTTTTCCCCAACTTGCTGTGGGTATTGAACCAGTGATTGCTGTCAAAGCTAAGGTGAATGTCGTCACTCAGGTCAACTGAAGATTCAGTCTCAGGTGTGTTACATGTGTTCACTCAACAAAGTGCCCTTAATGGCAAACCAGCAATCACCCCTTCCCAGCCTCCCCGAGCCCCTTGAAAGTCGATTTACCATAGGTATTTGCAGAATGTGGAGTGGGTAAATAGCCAAAGGTGTGCACGAAAGCAGGGAAGGTCGTTTTGGGCTTTTTGTTGAAAGAGGAGGGTGGCCCGTGTGTGATAAAGCCCAAGGCTGGCCACACAGAGAGTAAATAACCCTGTCCTGACTCATTTTTGTCACTGCCCATCAAAAATCAGTTCCACTGAATCTACACCCTAAGTTTTTAGGCAGGAAATTCAAACTATTTCCCATAAAGGAAACTGTTCTTTTTTGACTGGCCAGGAAAATGTACTTTAAACATATAAAACATATAGCAGTTAATTTTTTCCTGAAGCAAGTGCTTGCTACATCGTGTCCATTCCCAGTGCTGTCAATCATTATCCAGCCAGCATATTGTTCAGAGGGTGGAGCTGTCAGGCAGGAGGAATAAAAGGTAAGAAAAGGAAAGCTCCTACTTCTTGCTGATGTCAAGGGTAAGTGAGATTATGGCAAACCTTTAAACAGAGTCCCCTTTCTCTGCCCCACCCCCTGCTCCTATATAACCCAGGCTGCATTTAGCAATACCTGCTTTTACCCGGCCGGTGCTGGGGTGCGTGCGCCTGCTCCTCGTCCCTGCCGATGGATGCTCTCGCCGGCAGCCCCTTCGGATGGTTCTGCGCGGGCGTCACCGTGCTTTTTGGGGTGACCCTGCTCTGCGTGGCCAAGAGGAGCCCGGTGGAGAAAGCAAACGTGCTGGTCTGGAGGCTCCTGCCCGTCTTACTGGGGCTGCTGTGCGTGGCCACGCTGGGGGCTGCCGGGGGGCTAGCGGTTTTTTGTGGCACGTGCCTCGTCTCCTCCGCGTACCTGGGCAGCAGGGTGCTGCTGCCCGTGGGCGACAAAGCCGTGCTCGTCACAGGTAAGGTGCCGCAGACGCGCTCCGGGAAGCACAAAAAACCCCCACCCGGCTTTTCTTACAAGTGGGCTGGAAAACTTTGTGTCCTCGGGTGAGGTATGTATGAAATGCGTGCTTGTAAGGTTTCCTTTTTTTTTTTGCTCGTTTTATTTGCTTTGCCGGAGATGTTTTTTCCAGGTAAATAAGTGTTCTGAAATTAAGTAGAAAAGCATCTTAATAGATGCTGTTATTTTTTAGTGTCTCATTTAATCTTTACAAGTAGCTTTTTAGACATACTTGTGAAATTAACTGATGCAAAAAGCATAAGAATACTTACGATGGTCTAATATTTTAGGAGAGACATTAATTTCTGGAAGCCGTCAGAACACTACCTTCATACATTACTTTTGTTTACTTGAATTTATCGCACTGGTTACGGACGTACGGTTATCTTTTGGTGTGCGTGTTTACACAGTGCACGCTGTGTATATCATGCATATGTTTCAAGACACTGGTTTGGTGCCATCTCTTTGAAACGATGTATGAAATCATTTGGGAGTGAGAAATTTCCTTCACTAGCAGTGAAAGTTCGGAGCTAAGGAATTCAGTCTCTATTAACACTCTGACCTACTCAATACCCACTTTTAGTTTGCAGGGATGGTATTTTTGTAGTTCTATGGCTTTTCTCCTGTTTCTTCTAAAACTTTAAATGTTGTTTATTTGTGTTAATCAAACCTTTAAACTGGAGTGCCTGCCAACTGCTTCTTGCACTGTTAACTTGCTCTTTTTTGTTTCATCTTCTATTTTTTCCCTCTGGAAAGCTACATTAAGTTGCTTTGGTTTATATAGCTATTTCTTGCAGAATTTCATTTTGTTTTATAGAGACACCTGGAAATAATTTAGATTTGCCTAGCAAGCATTAATATGGGGGTTAAATACAAATGTTAAGAGAGGACAAGATGAGCAGCAAGTTCTCCCCTCGGGGTTTATCTGCCAGCTGGCTTTCTCCCTGCAGGTGTATCAGATGGAGATAGATATGAGGCAGGGGGGAATAGGGAGCACTCCTTTCCCACCCCTGCAGACAGGGGTTGCGCTTTCACTTGGGCATGTTGTTGCTTTTTATAAGACTGCAGTTCTTCAGGAAAAAGCACTCTCTTAGAGCTTACCTGCCCTAGAGAATTTGAATTAGAGCAATACAGGGGAGTGAAGAACGTTTAGGCATATTTCAGCGAGCAAATGTGCTTTCTTTGTACCTGTGTTGCAACTGTCCTGAAGAAATGCAAGTTTGGACACCTCTGACAGGTGATGCATCAGAGGAGGCTCTTCTTGGTCTTTATGTGAGTCCAGACTGGTATGCAATCAATCAAACCCTCCATCAACTGAAACAAAAGTTTTACTTAACGCATTTCTTGGTTAAATTGCTCTGATTGTAGTTTTTTCCCCCCATACCAACTGTAGGATGTGTGTCTGTGGGCATGTGCAAGGTGCCTTTAAATCAATTTTGGTGTCATTTTCTCCTATTTAGACAAGACCTGAGGCAGGCACTTCATGGGAAATGGTGATTTTTTAAAAAAATTTTTTTTAATCTTCTTTTTTTTAACACTCCCCCCCCTTTTAGCCCCACAAGGTTGAGGATTGCTGCTGTGCTCTGGGCAGCTGCCACATATCACTTGTGAGACAGCTGCCCTTGGCCAGAGGATGGAGTAATCTGTGCTTCCCTCCCTGGGTTTTGTCAAATATTGATCTGGTCCCCTTTGGATGTCCCTTATATGGGTGCTGCTGTGCATTATTTATTTAAGCTGGCACTTCACCGGAGTACCATGACAGGGGAAAACTGTGCCCAGTTGTCAAAATGCTTTTTCACATGAATAACTGTGGGCATATGAGCAGTCTTAAAGTCACTGGTGAAACATTTCTTATTGAACGTCTTGCTGGGAGTGAGTATCCTCAGTGTCCTTAAACAGAAGCTCGCGGACATGCCAACACTTTAGTTTGGTAGACCCAGTAGCCAGCTTCCCTACAAATTCAATTACCGTGAAGATCCGAAGTAGCAGAAATTGTAAAATTCTGTTATTCTGTGTGCAGCTGCATGAATTTCTCCAGTTAACTTGGTCTTTTCGTTCTTGATGTGTGACTTGGCGTTTCTGATGCTCAGTGTGAGTTGATGATAAATTCTCAGTAACAATTCAGTTACAGTCCGTAGTGACTGCATTTCTTATAATATATCTTCTTATCATTCACAAATTGCTTTTTTTTTTGACATAGAAGCAAAGGGCGGGGGGCAGAATTCTTCCCTATGGAGACCTAATTACTGTTTGAATTTTGAGTTGAAGGGTAGAGTTTCTCTGGACTTCAGTACCAGGTCTGAAACTCAAATCAGACTTGTTTTGATAAAAGCTCGGGACAAACCCAGTGGCAGGCACAGATAAACACTGCTTTTTATTTCCTTCTGAGGGTTGCTACACCCATCCCTAGTTGTTGAGCACTCTGCCCCTTCCCAGGTTAAAGCTGCGTTGTAAAACTTAGTGTGTAGCTCTGTGGCTGTGTACTTGCTGGGAAGAATGAAAGGGGAAGGATTTGATCCAAAAACAGGGTTTTTCACTAAAAGAAAAAGAAGGAAAGACACCCCACCCCAAACCCCAGGAATCTGTCATGTCTTTGGGATATATGCAGGCCTTTTCATGTCTCTTTAGGGAATTCCAAGAATGCAGGGTTGTTCTCCTCTTCTCTTTCAGGCCAGGGCTGTGAGAAATGCAGCGTGATATATGTGGTGCTCTGGTGCATCTTCAACAAACTGCAGACTTTAAAAATGCCAAAAAGCTTGCTTTTTTTTTTAAGATTAAGTAGTGCATGAGTAATTCTTTTCAACATCTTGCACTGATTGATCCAGGCATTTAGTATGTGTTTCTTTCAGGTCACCTGGAATTAATTTTTTTCACCTTTCATGACTAAAGCCCTGGTTAAAAGACAGAACCCAGAAATGAAGATCTAGCATGATTAAGATGAGTCTCTTTGACAGTCAAGTTCTATTGACTATGGATTTTGAGTGCAGGAGCAGGCCTGTGAATAACTATGTTAATATCTGCCTTGGTGTGCCAAAATCCCAGATTAACCCTTATGACTTTCTGGTAGGGTTAAGTAAGGAGTATTGCAGCTCATTCATGGATGAGGAGACAGCAAAAAAACTGGCAGGAGTTCCAGTCCTTTGTCCCACATTCAGGTTTCCAGCCATGCAGGTGGGTTTGGAAGCTGAGCATTTATGTAATAAATTGCTGTTGCAGGAGATAACCGAGCCCTGGGGTAGCTCCATGGATCTCGGTGCTCATCAGCATCCAGGAGCGTTCTTTGCCGCAATAAGCTGGAGGGTGCGGTGCAATATTGTGGGAAGTGCTGATGTATCTCTGCGTTCCAGTGTAAAAACTGCATTAATTTCTTAAACTCCTCATTTTCCTCCTGATATTGTCCTTTGCAAAACTCCTGCAGCACAGTCCCTATAAGCTCCTTCCCTGTCTCTAGCAGAGCCCTGTGTTGCTTCGTTGGGAGTCATGGTGGGCAGATGGGTGAGATGTTTCTTCCCTTGCTAAGAAGTTTCTCTGTAGATGGGAAGAATGGAAACTGGAATTAAAAAAGACACCAGGAGAGAAAACACTTAAAAGTGTCTTAAGATAGCGGCAGCTAAATACTGTGTCAAAGGGAGACACTTGAGATTCAATCAAATTATTTGTTAAATATTCATCATTGTTACCTGGTGGGAAGAACTGCACAGTTGTGATCGCAGCAATCGTTGTTGTGTGTTTGCTCTAATAGTGCTTCCTGCATTTGGTAGTTCATTGCTTTATGGGAAGTAAGTCTGGAAGAGGATACAGTGGATAAAAGAAATTCTGATGCAAGTTTGCATGAATTAAATAGCTGGTACTATCTGACTTAGCCTAAAAATGCCTGAAGCTTTCTTAGGGTTTGAAAGCATTGAACTCCTTTGCTGGTAAACAGTTGCTTAGCTTTGGCTTGGTTGCAGCCTGTGACAGAAAAGTGTTTATCAGAAGGATCTGGATGGTAGGTGCTTGAATAAAATAATGCTACTTCTTTGAATTAAGAAACAGAACCCAACAATTTGATTTCCAATACCATATAATTGCTTTGTCCATCTGAGATTTCAAATTAAAATATTTGTGGTTTTTCTCTTTTTCTTTTTTTTCCTAGCTACTTTTGTTATCAGGTTTCAGTCTGAATATCTGTATGAACCCAATCTAGGGTTTTATTTCCTCTGTATGCACGAAGTAAGTCTTAGAATCTGTCAGTGGTAGAGCATGAGGTGATGCCATCAGCTCTGAGCCAAGAGGACGTGGACTATCAATCTTTGTGGAACATGCAAAGGTCCAGCTCCTCGAACCTTCAGATCTGAACCTTTCTGCCTACTGTCATATATATTTCAGTGACTTTATTTCATCATCTTTTTGGTTAGATTTGCATGTATATCCAATGCATGCCTCTCTATTTTTTTTTTATGATGTTTTACAACAGACCCACTTTTCAGTTGTCTTTTTGATGCTTTCAGGAAGCGACACTGGGATTGGACATGCACTGGCTAAATACCTGGACAGCTTAGGTTTTGTTGTGTTTGCTGGGGTTTTGAATAAGGATGGACCTGGAGCTGAGGAACTGAGAAAAACCTGTTCTCGGAGACTCTCTCTCCTGCAGCTGGATATAACCAATGCCACCCAAGTGAAGGAAGCCTATCTAAAAGTCTCAGAGAAGGTGCAAAATACAGGTACAGCTTTTTTCCGTTCTAATGGGAGTACTAATGTAGCTGCTTACAAGGTGCATGTCTTAACTGTTGGCTGCATCGTGGCTTCTGTGTGTAGGTTATTTCCACACCACAATCTGTGGGCGGTCAGGGCATTTATATTGATGACTCCTGCTTTCTGGGACATACGAAAAATGGTGAAGGCTGTTCACGGAGTGGGTACTGCGTATCTGTCGCTGCAGATCACCTCCGCTTTGATCTGGAGGCACCATCCAGCTCATCAGTTTAATCTTTATGGAGTTGATTTCCCGCTGTATAGCAGCCCTGTGCTTTCTCCTCTTCCCAGGACTCTGGGGAGTTGTGAACAACGCGGGCATCCTGGGCTTCCCTGCCGACGGCGAGCTGCTGCCCGTGAGCACGTACAGGCAGTGCATGGAGGTGAATTTCTTTGGGGCTGTAGAGGTGTCCAAGACCTTCTTACCATTACTTCGGAAATCCCAGGGGAGGCTGGTTAACATGTCCAGCATGGCAGGTGAGCCGAACTAAAGCACCAAATACGTTTCTGGTGCAACAGAAAAAACGCCTAACTTCCTTGGCAAAAATTCCGAGGAAGGCGTCAGTTGGTCTTGCTTGTCAATACACCTAGGGAATCAATATTTAGGTAATAAGTGCAGGTTTTTCTTTTGTTTGGGAAACTATTTCCAGAAAACAGCCCTTAAAGAAGAAGAGTTTAATATGGCTAAAAATACGTTGTTATGTAAAAGACAGTAAAATTCAGATCTTGTGTTATAGATGCTGGGAGTGATAGCTTTGTGAGCTTCCAGAAAGATGGGTGGTAAATCACAGATGTTTTTATAACATGTTCCAGCAGAAGTCTGTGACCACCTCAGTTTGTGTGTCATTGAACCACACTGTGGAGATGCCCCAAAGCTGTCTGCCTTTCGCAGAGACAGGCTCTCTTCCATCTGGGCTGGTTACACCTCAAGTTTCAACCTTTTTGTAGTACTGTGGGTTAAAATTGGAGCATAAATATCTTTTTGGGTAAGTTCATGACACTTGCCATTTTTTAACAGTCTGTAATAAATGTTAGATATTTCACTTGGGCAGCTCTACCTCTCCACCCTTGTAGGGCTCAAGTGCTGTAGTTAGGGTGAGAAAGCACAATGATAAAACACCTGCTGAAGAGTAACATTTAATTCTTCAAGAGCAGAAGCCAGTTTTATTTTTTGCTGCATCCTACGGATCTTTCCTGAGTGCACAGTCCTAGAGCGTGGTCTGTTAATAACCTGGGACCTGAAGAGAGTGTGAGTTTATATTTTTTTAAAAATATTTTAGACATCTTAAAAATACTTTAGCCTAACTTATTAGCAAAGTGGTATTTTTTCAAGAATAAAATAACTTTTTAAAAAATTATTAACAGCATATAATATGCTTTCCAGTTTTGTCCCATAAATTGGATCCTGTGCTTACTATATATATGTCTTTATAACATGAGCTTCTATTCTAGGAGGACAGCTGAGATGCTAAGATGTAGGAACCGAAGTAATACAGTATCTGGTAGCCAACAGCTGAGGAGCAAGAATGCTCCTTTGAAAATGACACCTGCTAGAAGCAGGATGTCACGATGCCAGAAAGTGTTTTGGTTTAAGACCTCTTAAGGATTTACCATATCGTCCGCTTCCCAAATTTTCCTTTGCCCTGTCTTCTTGGACCCTTCTGTGCAGCTGGTGTCCACCCAAATCCCGCTGTATTGCTGGGGTGGCTTGTGAAGGTGTTACCTTGTGTTCACAGCTTATGTTGAGGATGTGGCTTCAGCCTAGCTTTGACACTGTTGTCTTCTGTTTTCTTTTTATAATCCCAGGTAGGTTTTGTATCTGCAAGCCTGTGTTTATGGCTTGTTGCGGACACTTAAAGAAATCAGGACTGAATTATCAGAAAGACCTTTCTGGTGCTGCTCTGCCCACCAGCCCTTGCAAGCACAGAGCCAGAGGATAGAGCTCTGTTTTCTCTGAGCACCCAAGTGAAGCTTGCGCTTTTGGTGTTTTGGGGCAGATGTCTTAATTCTTGGCAGGAATCCCCCAGCTGCCTTGCAGGGATAAATGGAGAGCTTCCCTGTGGTAATTTGCCCTTATGGGACTTGATAATGACCTTGCTTAAACTGTAGCTGTTTGCACAGATGTTCTTGCATGCGGACCAGTTTGAGTAAATAGCTTCCTCTTAATGCAGGGTCTGAGGGTCCTTTGGTAAAACATTAGCAGAAAAGTTAGCGAGGACTCATTGTGCTGAATCTATTCCTGCCTCTGTAGAGCTAATTTAACTGGACTCGAGGTTAGCCTGACCTCAGAGGAAAAATGTATGTGATTCAATTGGCTCAAATCAATTGAAACTCAAACTTATTCAGATGCATACAGAAGAATAATTAACATTTAACTGGCCTGACTTCTTCAAAGGAATGACTCGGTGTAAGAAGCGCCTGTGACTCCTTGGTCATTACAGTACAAAACCCAATAAATGGCACCAGTGGCTTACCTGAAAATTCCCCTGTAGCAAAGTATTTGCTTTTAAAAGATTCAAATACATGGAGATAAATATATAATATTAGAAATGGAGGCCATACCGGAGGATGTGCCCAACTGCCCATGCAGGCAGGAGAAGGAGTGATGTGCCCCAAGGAGAAGGGTTGCCCATTCTGTTCTCTCCTCCCCGCTGTGCCAACGCAGCCCGTGGTGGCTGTGATCACCCCTAAATCTGGCAGCGATACTCTGTGCGGTGATAACACCGACCTTGTGGAGAAAGTGGGGGGGCTGAAGAAGGGGAAGATGCTCACATCAAAGTGTCTTTGGATTTTTCTAAAGCTGAAGAAGTGACAGTCTGCCAATTTTTGGAACAGAGGAAAGCTCTGTATTTGGAAGATATTCTCTTCTGGAAGCTTTTGTTTTGTAAACATATGGATTTATTTTAAATTAATCTAAAATACTGACTGTTTTCTATCTTCTCCATCTGAACAACTGCTGCTGGGATTGGAGGAGATGGGATATAAGTATAGGCAGGGGATCTGCTTCGGTGATGGGTCTCAGGGAGTCCTGTCGCCTGGGGGCTGTGATTCCAGCTTTGGTTTCTCCACAGAGGTTTTCTCCGCTCTTGCCCTGTTGCCTCTGGTCTTGCTGAAACTAGCTGGAGAGAACTGGAAGATAAGTTGGCTTTATAAAGCTAGAACCGAGATTACTTACCCAGTTGTAACTGTGGTTTATAGTAGGAGCTTCAAATTCGTGTTACAGTGACAAGAACAGCGGCGTTAAACTGTTGCTTCACTATTTATATGAACTAAAACATTAGCTGTGTTTCTGAAACTAACAATCATAATTTTCAGCAGTTTTTACCTTTAAATGCAATACAGTTTATTTTTTCTGCCACACAAGGTGTCTTATCAAGTGTTACTGAGCATAACTGCTATAAGCAACTGCTAATTTACGACTTTCACTTTTTTTTAACCTCTAGAAAGAAATTATTCCCTCACTGACTTGTCTTTAACCTCAGTGAGAGCCGCATAATTTTGGTTGCGCTATAATCTTCCTTCTAAATCACGAAAATAAAGGCTGGAAAACGCCACTGCCGAGCTTTATCATGTTTATATTGCTCCTGCAGGAGGCATTCCACTACCGAGGTGTGCTGCATACGGTGCATCAAAAGCAGCTCTGTCCATGTTTTCTGGAGTAATGAGGCAGGAGCTTTCCAAATGGGGAATTAAAGTTGCTGCAATTCATCCGTCAGGCTTCCGAACAGGTTGGTATTTGACATTTCAGGTAGTTCTTTCTGCCTCGCCTCTTTCCCTCTAGTCCAGCATCCTCAAGCAGAGCCCTGAGTGATTCTCAGCAGTCGGACTTTTTTCCCCCATTCTTCACGTTGCTTATGGAAATGAAGATTCGCGTTTTGTGCGAGGGATGTTCCCTCTAGTTCTGCACGCCGCCTGCCTCTGCCTCGCGAGTGTAGCCATCCTCCTGGGCAGAGCTCTCCCTTTGCTTTGAGACAGGGCAGGGTTCAGGCGGTGGGTGCCTTGCCTTTGCTCTAGCTTGGTTGAAGTTAACAAACCCAGCGTCGCGGTGCCTTTGAGTGTTACAGCTTGCTTGTCCTGCGTGAGAGCTTCAGGACTCGCTGTCAGTCCTTTCTCAACATCAGAGCTCTCTTTATTGCTCAGTCTTCCATCAAAGTATCTGCAGCAATACCTGCCATCCCGCTTGCTTGCTGTCAATATTACTCCACGTAGTCTCTGATCTTTCCTCTCCGCTCCTTCCCTCCACTGCGCTCCTGCTGCTTTCTGCTCCAAATCTTCTTCTGCTGCTCTGAGCGCTTTCTGCAGAGCCCGTCTGGGTTTCAGACTCGTCTCCCTCTCCACGCACCCTCGCTGCACCCCGTGCCCACCCGGGAGCAGGGTGGGTGTCACGCAGGTCCCCCCTCCGTGGGCACGCCTGGCAGCTACCTGAGGACAACGTCAAATCCCACTGCTGCCTACTCAGCAAGTCCTGGTGACTTAATGGAGACGATTTTTATGCCGATGAAAAGCAAAATGGTCTTTTTTCATGAAACCCCGCTCCCTTGAATGCCTCCCCTCCTGGGGAAGGGCGCTGCGGGGCACTGGGCTCTGGCAGCGCCTGCGTGGTCAGCGGTACCTGCCTGAGGTTTTACCTTCAGGTCCCTGCTTAGCTGTGGTCAGACTGCTGGATGAAAACTTCATGCATGAAAACAAGTCCCGGTATTGGAGATTTAAATATTTATTTAAAGATTTTTCTTTATTTGCAGTGCTTAATTCATGAGAGTTAGGCAATAAATGCATTGGAAAAGCCACTGCTTTCATTTGTACATGATGCAGATGGGGTGGGGAAATAGATTTTATTTTATTTCTTTTTTTTTTTTTAAATCTGGCCTAATACAAGCCTTATCCGTCATGAAACTAGTTACTGAAATACCAATGTCACTTGTGAAAGATGAGCTTAGCACTTGGCCAGCCCAAGTGAATCCTGTTCATCCTAGTTTGCCTGTCTTTCCTCAGTCACTCACATCAGTTAGTAAATACTGATTAGAAACAGCCACAAAATGAATAAGGACAGAATAGCAAGGAGGCAGGGGGGGGAAGGAAAAAATGCTGATTTGGTTGTGAGAGCGCCTTTTTAGGTAGAGCTCGTAACCAAATGGTGCATGAACCCCACGCTTTTTGTGTAGTCTGTGCTTTGTGCTTTCCCTTCTCTTCCAGGTAAAAGCACTCGCAGCTAACCAGTGGTTTTGTCTGTTCTTCACTGGCCCAGTTTAGCACAACTGCGACTCAGGCTGGTGGTGGAGAACAACTCATTGACTATTACTTATAGATGAATTCTTTTCATTCAGCCCCCAAACCACTTGCCATCCTGTGATGTCGCTCCTGCAGGTATACAAGGCACATCCGACCTGTGGGATAAGCAAGAAAAGGAGCTGATGGAGAACCTCCCAGCAGACACAAGGCAAGACTACGGTGAGGACTACCTCCTGGGGCTGAAGGACTACCTCCTGCGCATGCCCGCGTACTGCGAGGCCGACCTCTCGCCCGTGCTGAGCGCTATCCTGCACGCTTTGCTGGCCAAGAGACCGCAGGGCTTGTACACCCCTGGCAAAGGGGCTTACATGTTCCTCTGCGTCTTCTGCTACCTTCCTCTCTGGTTCTATGACTTTTTCATTAGTAAGATGATGAATACTGAGTCTGTCCCAAGGGTGCTGAGAGCATCAGAAGCTGAAAGCAAGAATCTCTAAGGTATCCAGCAGCGTTTGTCTTACTTGATAACTGGGAAAAACTCTATTTTAAGACACTGCTATTTATTGTTCTGTCTTTATTAAATTGCATTTACGCTGCCTTGCAAACAGAGGTAAATCTTTGCGTTAAGAGTAATGTTTGGGAAAAGCAGTGGATAAACAAAAATAGAAAGCTATCCCCAGATGGGGCATTTTTTGAAGAATTTCAGTGTTTTCCTGATGTCTTTGTATCCTGCTTTCTGTGTAATGTATCTATCTCATGAAGTTATATAGTTCCTGTCTGCTTCAAAGGGCACTACCAACACACAGATAGATGTATAACCTGATTTTTAGAAAGAAACAAACCAAAAAAATCCTTGAGAGTCAACAACCTCCTTAAACATTATAAGGAGTTGCATATATTCCTATCATTGGAGAGATTTAGAAATGTCTAATGCAAGTCTTTCTCACTGCAGCTTCAGCCTAATATGTTTGGGGGTTTTTTGGTTCTGTTGCTGTTGGACCTGAGAAATGATTGACCTTTGTTTCCCCCTGAGTTTTGTGAAGTGTAGTTGTGATGTCTATGATGTGTCCTCTTTGCTAGACTAAGCAACATAAGTTAGTTGGGGGAACAAAGACAGATCAAGACCTTCATGAAGAAGAAAACAGTCTCCTTCCTACAATATTAGAAAAAGTAATAGTAAGTATATCAGCTGCTAATGTGATATGGCTGTCTTGTTCATTCTGTGTATTGCCTGTATATGCCTGTGCTTCTTTAATTATTAGTAAACTCTGATCTCGCTTCTGCTTTTTGTACAATTCCTTACTCGGTTCTGGGTTTATGAAGTACTCGCGTTTTTGCCCATTTCTCCTGACACCTTCCTGTGCCTCCCTCTGCTTTGGGGAGAGTTTGTGCTCACTCCTCTAAGATCAGTCAGTCTTCAAGCTGGCTTTACTGGAGTCCAGTGTCCACGTTCTGATAGATTTTGGTCGCTCCCCTTCCCTAAATTCATCCTAGGAAGATGAGATGCCCTCCCTGCTGCTGGTTGTCCCTGTGCCCTATACCATCAAACTCCCACCAATGCCGAGAGGTTGGGCAGGCTCACCTATATTTTTCCAATCCTACTCCCTTTTTGCATTGCCCGTCTCATCCTCGGGCTTGAAAGGCTGTGATATTTTGAAAGAAAGCCTCATCCTCCTGTGTTCCCTGGTTTGGCCATCTGTCCTGTGCCTTGCTTTGACAAGAGGCATTTCTTTTCCCATGATGAAAAATTAAAAGTCATTACATTCTGGGCCTTAAATGTAGATGTACTTTTTTTCCTTTCCTTTCTGCGCAACTGCTAGTCTTCTGTCATAATCCTACTCGCGCAATGTACTCTTACAGTCAGCTGAACAAAATCACAATTTAATTTGCATCTGTAGTATTTCTTCTATCTCCTGCAACTTTTTACATCAATGCAAGACTCCTGTAAATGCACAAAGGATGCTCGGCAGACTTGGCCCACCATTTTAGTTTGTGCAGCAGTGTGGAAATCCTCCTGTCCTGTACATTTTGTCATGATTACTGCTTTTGCTGCTGAGGCTTATCTCCTTGTGGGTTTATATCAGTCCCCTGATTACAGACTTTTGCTTTCCTTTGAGAAAGTCTGGCCAAAATTGTTTTTCACTCAGAAAATCTGGGATTATTTCAATCTCTCTGCCCATTTCTTCCTTAATCTATTTCCCCATTTTTTTTATTTGTCAGCAAAAGTGCATAATAAAAAAAAATGCATTTAGTAACTGGATTCTTGTGACTCTTTCTGTCTCATCTGACCCTTTGTGCTTTTGGGGACTGGTGCTACAGCTGCTCCCTTCCTGGGCTGACCTTGTTCCCATAGTAGGAGAGCACCAAGGAGGAAGGTGGTGGGGACCTTCTCGAGGACAAAATGGCAGTCGGTGCCTTGTTTTGGGCAGGACGCGATCCCAAATGGCTCAAAGGCAGCTTGTGAGCTGAAAGGAAAGGTGGGTGCAGAACTGAGGGGCGCACTGGGTGGCCACCTTTGAATTTTGACTATCTTCAGAGTGAGGGAACTTGCTGCCTGCCAGCTCATCTCCATCTTGGATGGAGGTGGTTGTTTTTTCATTTAACACCCAATTTAGGTGTAACTTAGGTGGGCTGGAATTTTGCCCTTAGGCATGTTATACATCATAGAACCAAAATTCCTCTTAGCAGCCAGTTAGCTCTTTTGCATAGCAATCTTCATAACAATCTTTAATTGTTGCTTTGTTATTTGGCTGTGGTTATAGAATGTAATTTTTTTTTTCTCCCCTTCACTTTCTTAATGGGAATATTATTTTGCACATTGCAGACATATTAAACTAGGCATCTACATGGAAGATTTGATTTAATTTTATTTTTTTTTTACTTTTATGTTGCAGGAAATTTGTGTTCTAAATAGTCATTTTACATCACCTAACTACAAAGATATTTTAGCAAGTCTCAAATAAGTGTGGTATCAAAGACTATCATTATTTTGTTCCTACAGGGATCTTACTTTGTGTTTTAAAGACAATTCTGTTGTAACACTTTATCAAATTATGTATCATTTAATGGGCTGTAGTATTAGGGGTAAATTTCTTTTGCTAATGGCTTGCATTGCAAGTAATCCAAACTGTGAGGCTAGGAGAACTGCAAAATAAATTGTGGGTGTTTGTGGCCAAGGCACCCATGTGGATGATAACGCTGATGCTAGCTTGTGCTCTCAAAGATTAGTGTCTAGGTGTTATGCTCCTTTGCTTACTGTAAACGCTGATCTGATACACAGCTATTTTAGGGGTGGGAAGAGAGGATGTTTAATTCTAGCAGTGGAAACCATTGTATTAAAAAAACCCCAGACTAACCACCATGATTTGGGTCTATTTTCAAAGATAACATTTCTAACAAAAAGCATACGGCATGAAGAAAAACAGCTGAGGAATTGAAGGAATTGGCTGTAGCCCTAAAAAAGGGCTAATAAATAATACTCTAAAATGTCCCTTAATGCCCCACACTAATCAAGTGTGTCTATATTAAAACCACAAGCGTATAGCTTAAAAGGGGTTATAAGCTGCAGAAATCATGATTAAAGAGTAGATTTTTTACACATCCCTCCGATCCAGCCTCTGGAATGCAGGTTGTGACCAAGAAGTAAATGCGGTTGGATGCTTTTTACCAAGCAAATCCCTGGCTGGTGTGCTGGGGCTCCCACTCTCCTACTCTGCGTTTATTGCTCTGGCTGACATCTGTTCTTAGTTCATGTGAACAATTGATTTTAAGATATGTAGCTTTGGTGAGACAAAAGGTGAGTTATAAAGTCATTTGTTTTTACAACTTTTTTTTATTCTGGATCCATTTGCCCTCTTTATGGGGCCCCTGATGACAACCATAGCTAATGCATGCTTCTAGCACTGCAAACTGGGGAAAGGAAATAAAATATTTGTGGTTATGTCTCTGGCTGGCCATGGTGGGGAAGTTTTGTTGGCCACCTGTCGAAGGATCATCTCTGCATTTCAAGAAGTGTTAACGTGTGGGACTGTCCATGTGGCTGGAGGTAAGGAAAAGGGCTGGGAAAGTTTAAAGTGTGTTCAAAAGAGGGCTCTGACAGCCAGTTTTGGATAAAACTGGTGGTGTAGGAGAGTGGGGAGAGCTGGGTCACTGAGGGTTATGGACTCATGTGGGGACAGGGATTAATCCTAAAGCTGCTTTCAAGCTTTGTAGGACGCTGAGCAGCCCTTTCTGTGTCAGGCCGTTTTATGCTGGCTGCCTTGGTAATGTTTATGCACAGCTTTACTGTTCAAGCCAAAGCCATCAATATAGCATCAAATACATACAGTAATCTTAAAGCCCATTTTTCACTAGTAGAGGCCAAAAACAGGGATGGGGAGAAAGGGAATAGTTGCTTTTTCTAATTTAATGAGCATGAACAGAAGCTTAGTAATTTCTGAACTGAAGTATTTAAAGTTTGACTTTGCGACGGTTAAAATTACTTCTTACTGTTAAGATTTAAATGAATGTTAGAGAATCTCCAGATTTTGCCAGTTTAAGCGCCTGCTGTCCTGAGAATAGAGGAAATAAATTCCATGTTCCTATGAGTGCATGCCCTGGCATGTATGAGATTTTGTTGTTGTTGTTGTTTTTAGTTGCATAAGAAAAGTCATTGTGATTTTTGTATGTATTCTTTGTATCAAGAGGATGCTTGCAGGGAACTTTCAGATCTCAGTGATGTCAAAACACTGGCTTTGCTGTAAATTAACTAGTCTGGGCACAGCGTTGCACAGATACAACTAAAATGGGTCATATTTCATTTCCTTGAATCACAGAGTACACATCTGGCCATCAGCACCCATCTGTGCACCAATAATATTTACAGCAAGTTTGGGACAAATACATGAGTTTTGTCATTTTTCCTAAAGAGATTGGTTCTGGGATCCTTTCTGGGACAAAATGTTGCCTGGTTTAGCCTTTTTATGTCTATGTTTTGGAAACTAGCTGGATTCCCAAAATGATGCAACACCTAAGCATATTGTGCATCACGGAGTCGTCATATTTCTAGGAATGCTCAAATAAAATTCCTTTGAAATAAAATTCAGGCAGGCTTCAAAGGAAAAGCATTCAGACAAAAAGATCTTGGCTCTTGTAGGAAAATTAACAGGAGGGTGTCTGTATTTTTTTTTTTTTTCCTTCTTTTCTTAAAGGTGTCAGGATGCATAAATGGAAGGTACTGCCACTGCCAGGAAACACCCAGCACATTGGATCCCGAGATGCCTGAGGTGCAATAGTTCCTGCTGAAACTTGTCAGCTGGTGTAGCACTCCCTGGTATGCAGACACCATCGCAGGCAGTATTTCAATAGCCAATGCTTTTGTCATCCAAGCTGAACATCAGAGCTGTTGCTGTTCAATTATAGATGGATTGTGGCAACCTTGAGGCAGTGGGCTTTTACCATAGTAAAAGAGGTAATTGCTTTTATTTTTAAAGCATGACCAAATCATAAATCAAGAATC